CTATGCCACGCATTCTTATATCCGTTTCTCTGTCTCGAGTTACGAAATGTAACATTCAACAGTAAGATGGAATGAATCACCAATTCTGAGCCGCAATCATGGCCGCCGTGGTGGCTTTCTCGAACCCAAGAAAACTTCAAATTACTTACAGCAAGCTGCTTGCGCAGTGTGGAACCTTACTGACAATGAGAAAGTTCCTCATACTATGCAAATGTGCGATGGTGCGAATATAGGTCGGATAGATAACTGTTCACCCATACACTAAGTCTGAGTACCGGAAGCAGGATTACATGATAGAAAACCTAAAATGAGCGCTAATGATGGTGGTCCGGCGCGGACGCCATCGATATCGACCGTGTGCTGACGTTCTAAAATTGTTAGTTGGCAAGTGTATTTCTCTAAAGGCGATAGAAATCGCAGAGACGGATGCTACTGTGCACTTATCATAGTCCTTTGACACTTACAGGCACATCCAAATCGATTGAAATACGGGGCCACTTTCGCCACGGCAATGAGAAGATGCTTGGCTGCATCGACAATGTAGCTTGCGAGAATCGAGAAATAGGTTCGGAGTCGATGAAATGTCTCTTCTACGACACGGAAGGGCACTTTGGGGAACAAGGAGGGTCACCGAGGCATGCCCGGGCAGCAGGGAGCTCTCTCACGCGGTGCAAACAGATACTCAACAACGATTCCCATTCCGTTCGATGCTGGCGAGTGTCCAGCCGCTAAATCACAAGCGCGTCATCGCCGATCATCGTCGCATGCTTTTCCGCAATCACGTTTTCACTTCATTTATCACAACAAACAGCAATTGTTGGCTAAATACTTCTCAGCCCTGAAACATTGTCGATTGGTCGTTTGTCTGTATCAAGAGTTTACCAGTCATCGGTATTTGAATATTAATTTTGGCCTTTTGTACGTTTCATCGTTGCACGTACAGAGAAGTGGCGAGCTGCATCAATCGTGATACGATCGAGTGATTCGCCTAATCTTCACTTATTCCTACATACTGTGGTTTGAAGTATGTAAAATTTTACGAGGAGCTGTTACAAAATATGAAAGTCCCCAATCCTGTGATCTTGCCACCGCAACAGGATATCAAGTCTCTTATCAAACAGGTGAGTCAGCATCGGTTCCGTCACGCTTTGGAAGTTAGGAAAAAAATTCGAAGAGTCAAAATCAAGGTGTGCCTCGTTGTTTGAC